ACTCTCAGCAGTGCACATACACAATCCAACACACGGGATGCGAATCCAGGACCGTCGGTCTCATGTACGAACGCTTAACCTCTAAACCACTGAGCCGAATTTCAACGGTCTTATTATCTAACTTCAACCAATCCACGATATTGTGAGAGTATCTTCCATTGTCTTCGATGTATGATTGCCTCACACTCGACACGGTGAACTCCCCTGGTCATGGCTTCTCGAAGCTAGTCACTAGTACTCCCAGATTTTCAACGGTGGTCTGACATTGATCGGTTCATGATCAAAATTATAACAGAATGTATATATTCGTAAGTGGATCTGCGGTGTGAGGAATCTCACTGACTATTTATCACCTATGATCGGTGAACTTTTAAAGAAAAACACAATTTTTATGTGATATGAATCAAATATGTCACAGCATGCATTAAATGAAGACAAATTAACATAATAAAAATAAATAAATGAATGTTTGTGTTATTTTTGCTGTTCCACTTAACTGTTTATCATATTCAGACAAGACAACTGATAAGAACAATTGAATTTCATTGTTGTTATTTAGATAGTAAGTGATATATTAAATGAAATAAGGAGTTCAGGTTTATCTATGAATTATTAGTTGCTATGGGACAGCTAATTGTATTCCGTCTCTTCTATCAATACTATTTGGATTTGCCCATATGTATAGGGCTTCGGCTGTTAGTCTTTCTTTGTAAGAGTTAAAACCTTTTCGTAGGATTCTTGTGCCATTGAAATCAATTGTATGACCCAACTCGATTAAGTGTTATGCTATTGCTGATTTGTTTTCGAGCTTTTTATATTATCTGAGGATTTAGGAATGTGCTTTAAGCAAAACTTGTGTTTCCTCACCCTCACATTCAGTGGTCATAATGTTTCAACTACATACACAGCATGACATAATAATAAATACAATCACTACATTTGATATCGTAAACATATTTTTAATGTTCCTCCTTTTGCATTGGATCTTCGATTCTTAACATTTCGGATCCTAGAGTATTGTTCGTTGGAAAGAATACTCTTATATTTTGAAGATTTAGGATCCTTCCGAAACTCCTTTGCGATACGGGATCACTACCGTGTTCAGTTTAGTTTTTATCATATCGTATTCGTCTTCTAAATTATTCTTTTTATAAAATCCCTAGGATAATTATTCGTCATCAATGTGGACATTACTAAATTCGTTTCAATCTCTTTGTCACTTGATCCATTGGCGAGTTTTTGAACACTGGTTACTAAATTCTTGGCCACTATCACTTTGGTAGAATGGGCATTTGGTTAATTGTAATCTAGATATTTCCCGGAATATGTTGTCTTTCGAAATATATTAGTTTTTTTTAAAAAAATCATTACCTTTTCTTTCAACCAAACAGTCGAGAAAACTTAATTTATGGTTAGCAAATTCAATTTCCTTAGTGCATTTGATTTTGTCAGATATATTGTCAACATTTTCAAACAGTTCTTGTTTTTAATGACAAAAGTGTCCTCTGTGTACCTCGACCAGATTTTTAGTGTTCCGTGAAAAAGCTTGGACCAGATTACCGAGCGAAATATTGAATTAATTTAAAATTCAATCGCTAAGATTATACAAATATATTATTCCTCCTTAACATTACCATTCAGTTGAATAGGAAACGAGAAAATCCAATATGGGAAAAAAACCATATCTACATATAATTTCAGTCAATAAATAGCATTTAGTATATAATTATAATAATCAACTGAATGAAGACTTCTTCGTCATCTCTTCAGTTTAATGAATTTACATCTTAAATCTATTTTTATGTCTTGTATTGACTGTATCGGATACCACGTAACAATCGATATACGCTTCTACCATTCAGTGATAAATGTAATCCATCTTTGGGTAAATGACTGCATTGTGGAAATCCGAGTTACTATATTTTATTCAATGGAATAGTAATTTATCAAAACAACAGAAACCATGTTTTGAGAAAGTACATAATGCTGAAAGACAGAAATGTTTAAAAATACGAATAATTCGTACTGACTGGGACTCAACGGTTGTAATTAACTTGAGTCCCAGTGTATTTGTCATCTCTTCCACAAAGACTCGGACCCACAAGCTAGCATTTTAAGTATCAAAATGATGTCTGTTAGACAATGGAGTTAAGTTTCAGTGCTCGATCAGTCACAGTGAGAACAATAATAGTTAGTGAGATATAAGTACGTTCAGCAGACATTCCAAATAGGATGAAATGGATGTCTTGTATAACATAAATGTACTGTAAACCACTTGAAATTTCACTCTAACAACTTATAATTACCGTTACCAGATTATTTTGACCTCACGCCTGTATTATTGAAATCGATTCTGTTCACTATTAAACGTCAGTCAGCTACAAGGTAGGACCAGGCACATGTGTGCATCGCTCTAAGTTGCCATACGTAAGAGCAGCCTATGAGATTACATAGCCCTTGGCTCACATTTTCTCTCTCTCAGTTCCTCTAAAACATGGTACTCTTCACACTACCCCAAAGACATTACGTAACTCCACACTATACTAAAACCTAACAAAGACTGAACGTTATAATATCAATATAAGACTGCTGAATAAACACCAATTATTATCGAGAGAATACGAACACGTGCATAGATTGCACTTTCATGACCTGATATCATTCCTAGATTGGCGTTAACCTGAATAGTTTAGTGGTGCCGTCTTTAACTGAGACGCTTGGCTTGAATCCCACAGGAATTATCGTCAAGATTCCAAACATGACCAGGTGACAAATGTTCAGCACTACAAAACCTAGGTCTACGCTGGCTTCTGATTGCCTACAACTACTTAAAGTCGAGAAAGTGTGGTGTCCAAAAACTTAGGCTATTATTTGCAATGCAACTTGGTCTACAGCACCCAATCAGCAATAAATACTAAACAAATACGGCACTGACACTACGTACGACTAGCTAGTCACTTAGTAGTAACCAAAGTGATACGACTTCTTACGAACTACTTACAATAAATAGAACGGTAACCATAAAATAATCATCTTAAACTAAAATGTTTATCAATCTCATCGTTGTCCATAAGCACTCCTTTACGCAAAGCATTGTGTTTAACAACTGACAGGATAGACATATGTCCGTTAATGTAGTTCCTCATATAAGGACCCTGGTCAACCGTTCTAAACAGCAAGACATTGTCATGCAAACTGTGTTAACTTCTCGTTTATCCTGAAATCATGCTAAATTGATGTAGAACTTCCTGTAGCACAAAAATTAACTTACCACTTCTAGGCATCCTATTTATGCTTACTCATTTGACTTTCACAAGTTTGCACTTACACCAAGAATGGTAACAGAACCCAAAGATCCTGACTATTAGTTATGTGAGGTGGCCATTAGCGTATCTCTACCGTGAGTCCGATAATTTTCGGCCATATTATTCTTGTTAAATTTGTGAAGTAAGATCCTAAAAAATAAGTCACCTACTTATCTATGGAACAAGCCAGGTTTGTATATCAGGATTAGAAACTATGAAGTAGTGATCGAAATCCTTAAATCTAATATTAGATCACTACCACGCAGAAATCTTCCTAATTCACAGGTACTTTTCAAGCCACTATGTTTCTGAAGGGAACAACATAACTTCTAGAAATAACACTAAACGCAGAATCAGTCCAGAAAAGACATCCCTGACAAGAATTAGTTTTAATTACATAAAACTTCAGTACACTAACTGAGACCATTCGGTATAATTCTGAGAACATGCAGTAATAAGACAGCCAATTTGAGATTTAATGCATAGCCGCAAGCGATATCTGACCAACTGAATAAACTAGTATAATGGACAACATCATATGTTTTGAAGAATTTGAAATACAGAAGGCGAACCAATCTAACAAGCACTTCTGAACCAGTCTAGACGATGGAGGGTGTTGGAGCTGCAGTCAATATTGATCTCAAGGTATAAGTCTGCTATTGATTCCATGTTATAAGTTTGGGAGAACTACTATCATACGAACTTTGAGAGAGGAAGTTTAGGGTGTCCCGATCCACACTATCTTAAACTATATACTCCGACACCTGGGAACTCAGATCTGATAATAACACGTTTTTGATCGGTGACAAGGATTCACACCGACACTCTAAACTCTTGCAGTCCCGCTAAATTTGAGAATATTCGTTCCCTAAAGAATAGGACCACTCTATTAGGTGCTCAGTCTTATTAGCAGGTAACAATCGGAAAGAATTGAGTCGCCAGCTGTGTTTAGTTCAACAGTATATATGGCTTTGGACAAAACAGCCTCCAGTGCTTTATTTCTTCACACATCTTAGCAAGTCCCGAAGGTAAGGTGGCCTCAAAAATGAGTAATGTCTTGTCCCCACACACGTGAAACCAACCGAGTATCTAAATGTGGAGGCTTGTGTTATATCTGCAACTGGCAAGTTACTAAACCATACCACGACACGTGAACCAATCGATCCCAACTTAGTTTAACTTTCCTTGGGTACTGAACACGGATACACACGTCCAATCCTAAGTTACGTCGTCAACGGCCATAACCCCTTCAACTAACAAATCCTATCCCATTTATTAAGGTTATCGGCCATGGTGTTGCTGAAAACTTCAACAAACCAGGCTAAAGTATTCGATCGGTATCTATCTATCAAACTAACCTGAGCGCTTCAGCAATAGGCACGATGGCGTCCACGTAAGGACGATTATATCGGTACAGCAAGCAATATGGACGAAACAATGATCTCCAAGACCAACATTGTTATGACGCTGGTTCAAACGAAACGACTTAAAAATGCAAACACCACGCTGCTTTCCAACAGAATTAAATAAAGCTTATAAACAGTGTATTCGATAAAAAATGTTACAGTAGCCATCGTTTTACAAATGCAGGACGGCCCGTTAGGTTTAAAAAGAAACATCTGTAAACAATATAAAATAACACCATCTGTATACAGCAATTGTACGTCAAACATTAGTTTTTAAAACTATTAAGGACTAATCGTCGGACTCTGAATCTTCTGTCTTGGACTTTTTGCCGGCTTTGTATTTTTGCATCGCCTAGAAAGTGTAAAAGTTACTTAAAAGCAACCTACTTTCTCGTAACGTTGCTTCTCTACCTGGGCTAAGCTCTCATACTTAGCTTTGTTTTTACAATGCTCCCATCTTTTACCTAGTTCTTTAGCTACCTCACTGACTTTCCAGTCGGGATTTTCTGATTTGACTTTAGGTCGTTCATCATTACAAAAGAGGAAAAATGCTGACAGCGCCTTTTTGGGTGCATCAGGGTCTCGTTTCCTTTTCTTACTGCGACCTTCATCGGCAGGAGGTTCATAATGTTCCATCTCACATCGATAACGCTCTTTGTCCTTCTCTGCTATATCCTTGAACTTCTTTTTTTCTTTAGCCGATAGATTCTGAAATACAATAAACTACGAACACATAACGTACCTTCCACTGTTCTGAGCACTCCTTTGAAAAAGCCTTGAAATCTAGAGTGACATTGGGATGTTTCTTCTTATGGTCGGCACGCATAGATTGCAAGAATGCTGCATAAGCATTCATAGCACCTTTTGGTTTACCCTTGTCTTCAGCCATCTTTGCTGAGCTGGTTGAATTCAAAAGGCTAGTCCAGAAGGCCGGACAAACTCAAACGGCCCTAATTAGACTAAGTACGAACAAAGCAGTATCTGGTGTTCAAAAGACAATGTCTTATTTCAGTAGTTGAATAAATCAATTATCTTTATCTAATTAACTAATGTCCAAACTTGGTGAGTTACACCTAGTAATGTCATCGTCTAAATGAGATGAATCCGATTTTCGAAAAAGTAAGCAAGTATGGGAGGAACCAGAGGGGATTAATAGAACATGGCTCAGGAGGATGACTCTTAACAAAGTATACCAAAATCATCAGTCACATTGATTTATATTAAACGAAGTGTACATAGTTAGGTGGTATCTCCTTACAACAGTATATATATTAAGGATGGTCAGAAACAGATCGTATCTAACTACCGGCCTGCCAGTCTAACTGGCATTGCCGTTAAGTTACTTGAAAAGATAATTCAGGTTAGGTTGATAAGCCACATAGATTCACACAATCTCTTAACTCTCGAGCAACATGGGTTTCGTAACAAGCGTTCATCCTCGACTAACTTGCTTATTGTGAGAGAGGATTGAACAGCAGACCTAGGTAACGGTCTGTGATATTCATAGATTTCAGCGAAGCATTTGACAACGTTTCACACTGAGGTCTTATGCAGAAGCTTTCGAGTTTCGGAATAACAGGTGCTATACAGGAATGGATAGGAAGCTTCTTATGTGACCGCAGACAGAGAGCGAGGATCAATGGAACGCTATCCGAAAGGAGGCCGGTCAAAAATGATATACCCAAAGGCACCATCTTAGGCCCTCTGCTCTTCCTTCTCTACGTTAATGAGTTACCACTGTTGCCTAAGTCGTCGACATTATTGTTTTCGCATGACGTAAAAATCTGGAGAACAACAAAACGTGAGGCTGGTCATTTGGATCTCCAAGCTGACTTAGACGATTTAGTTAGACGGGCTGGAGGTTGGTGCTTAGAAGTACTTGATGATGTCACAGGTATTCAGTGTTTGACAACGTTTCTACCAGTAACACCTTCTACTATATTTCGTTCCCGCCCAGAGAAATCAAAAGACAGAGTCGAGGAGATCGGAAGAGTATATTTGGCGATGACCAATATATCGGAATTCTCTGATCTAATCTAGCTAGCGATTGCGGTTGATGTTGAGCACGGCGTTACCACACGTGATCTGGTGCGGATGCCTGACCGAGCGCCTTCAGCTAGGTGAGTCCACTAAAACATATGGTCAGCATCCAATGTCGAAAACTTAGTGCTATTTATTTTGGGGATTTATTTACCGCTACAGATTACTCCCCCCCCCTGGTGGGGCAGTGACGACCCTTAGACGTGGCCAGCCAGAAGTTTAAACCCAACGAGTTTGTCGTTGGTAAACACTCTTCTGATAGCTTACTAAATTTAGCAGCGTCTGGTCGTCTTTCCTTACTATATGGGACCGAGGTACAACATAGTAAAAAAAGAAAATGTACAATGAAAATTTCGGATCCTCATAAACGTCATCGTTCTTTTCCAGCCGTCCTGGAAAAGAAAAAAGAAAATGTAAGTGCATGTCGAAATACACTCGTATGTGCGTAAAAACACAATGTCGGCGGAGAAAAAATGGAAAATAAACTCATGAACACGTAATAGCATTTAAAAAAGTTGTTTTTTTTGTTTTGTATATTCTTTTATTTAAATAGAAATGAAAAAATATAAGCATATTAAAATTTTTTTTTTAAAAAAATAATATAAAATGTCGAGAAGTGCCTTATGTGCAATAGTCGTTTAGATGTTCTGGAAATCTCACCCTTCTTCCAGAACACGTCGTTTTAAGTTTATTTTCGGATACTGTCGAAGTATCATCGTGTGTGTTGGTTGTCGGATGAGGTATTATAAGTGTCGGAGTCGTGTCGTTCGATTGTACCGAAGGAAAATCCACGTAGATAGGATTTCCTTCTAAATACGCTGCTTTTAAGCGATCGATGCTGATGCTATCGTTGGTTCCGTTCTTATCGACTATATAGTACTTAGATTCACGTTGAAGAACTTTGAAGGGTCCTTCGTATGCTGATTCGAAGGGTCGTCGATGCGAGTCTCGACGAACGAAAACGTGTGTACTATATCGTAAGTCAGGTTGAACGAAAACATCAGTTGATTGTGGTCGAGTGAAAGCAGGTTTAACTGAACGCATTGCGTTTGTAAGCCTGTTCGTGTAGGAGGTTAGATCCATGTTCATTGAAAAGGGCGAAGGGTCCACGAATTCTCCTAGAAGTCGAAGTGTCGTTCCATAAACGAGTTGAGCCGCAGTGTATCCAATGTCAGCTTTCACTGCATTGCGGATACCTAGTAAGACGAGTGGAAAAGCGTCGGTCCATTGTGAAACGTTTGCAGCTGATAGCGAAGCTTTCAGTTGTCGGTGAAAACGTTCTACCAACCCGTTTGCTTGTGGATGGTAGGCGGTCGTTCGGAAGCGAGTGATTCCTAAAAGTGTGGTCAGACGACGGAAAAGATCAGATTCAAACTGACGTCCGCGGTCTGTAGTGATGGTTGAAGGGCAGCCGAACTTTGCTACCCATCGTTCGACGAAGGTGCGGGCCACTGTTTCAGCAGTGATGTCCTTGATAGGTACTGCTTCTGGCCATCGAGTGAAACGGTCTACGCAGGTTAAGAGATAAGAGTATCCATTTGAATCTGGTAAAGGTTCTACCAAATCCAGATGAACATGGTCGAAACGAGCATCGGGAGTTTTAAACGAGCCTAAGGGACATTTATTGTGTCTGATAACCTTAGATTTTTGGCAGCTTACACAGGAGCGTGCCCACTCCCTCACGTCTTTATTCATTCCAGGCCAGCAAAACCTTTCTGCTATAAGCTTGATGGTTGCACGAACACCTGGATGCGAAAGTTTGTGCAATGTGTTGAAGACATTGCGTCGATAATGTTTCTGCACGATTGGGCGATCCCTACCTGTAGATGTGTCACAAAGTAAGGTTTCCTTACCTGTTCCCATCTGTTTGATGCGTAGTTTAAGTGTTGTGGACGATAACTCGTGCTGAAGATCACTGTCTTCTTTTTGAAGCTCGGCGAGTTTAAGAAGGTCGATTCCTTGGAAACTGTTCAAGGAAGTTATGCGAGATAAAGCGTCTGCAACTACATTGTTTGCTCCAGAGATGTGTTGAATATCTGAAGTAAACTGCGAAATGTAGTCCAGTTGTCGAGACTCACGGGGAGAGTACTTGTCAGGAGGAGAGCTTAACGAGAAAGTGAGCGGTTTATGGTCCGTGAAAAGAGTGAATTCACGACCTTCGATGTAGTGTTGGAAATGCCGTACAGCACAATACATAGCTAGGAGTTCCCTACCGAATGTGCTGTACCTCGATTCGGTGTCTAGCAACCTTCTAGAGAAAAATGCCAAGGGTTGCCAGGAGTTGTTAACCCATTGTTGTAAGACTCCTCCGATTGCCGAGTCGGATGCGTCTACTGCGATGCTAATGGGTGCTCGGGTGTCCTGATGTGCGAGCATTGTTGCTTTAGCAATCAGTTCCTTAACTGTGGAGAATGCTTTTCGTGCGGTGTCGTCCAAATTAATGGATTTCGCATTTCCACGAAGTTGGTCGGTCAGAGGTTTCATAAGTAATGCGCATTTCGGTATGAAACGTCTATAGAAACTTACCAGGCCGTTAAACGTGCGTAATTGCTTGACGGTGGTCGGTTCTGGGTAATCCAGAATGGCCGCCACTTTGGTCCTAATAGGTCGAATGCCTTGAGCGTCGATAGTGTGTCCCAGAAAGTCTAACGAGTCGGTTCCGAATTGGCATTTCTGAACGTTTACAGTTATGCCATGTTTTTGAAGTCGTTCGAAAACAAGATCCAGATGCTTGAGATGTGTTTCTCTGTCCGGACTTGCGATTAAACAGTCATCAACATACGCGTGTACGAAGTTGAGACCTCGAAAAACGTCGTCTATGAATCTTTGGAATGTTTGAGCAGTATTCCTTAGACCGAAAGGCATTCGCAAAAATTCATAGAGTCCGAAAGGAGTTATGATAGCTGTTTTCGGTATGTCGTCAGTAGCCATAGGGATTTGGTTATACGCTTTAACCAAGTCGATTTTCGAAAAAACAGTTGTACCTTTCAAGGTAGCTGTCAAATCGTGAATGTGAGGCAACGGGTAACGATCGGGAATGGTTTTCGCGTTCAATCGCCGATAGTCACCAGTTGGACGCCAATCGTTGCTGTCCTTTTTAGGGACCATATGCAACGGAGATGCATATGGGCTACTTGACGGTCGTATGATCCCTAAGTCCATCATGTGATCGAATTCGTTTTTCGCTAACCTTAGCTTTTCCGGAGCTAGTCGTCGTGCTTTAGAGAATACAGGTGGTCCTGTAGTCGTGATGTGATGTGTAACATTGCTGGTTACACACGGTAGTTTCGGTTGAGTTTGTTGTATCCCAGGGTACTTATCGAGTAGTGGTTGATAGAGTGGGTCTATCATATGTTTAACTGTGACTGGGGATACTCTGCAACCAGTAAAAGAAGTTACGCAAACGGACAAATTAGTGTTTCCGTCTACTAGCCTCCGTTTGCGAGTGTCGATGATCAGATTGTGGTGTTGTAGAAGGTCCATACCAATGATTGGCATAGAAACATCTGCAACAACGAAAATCCAGTGGATGGGTTTGCGTAAACCCACGTTGAGGTAAACGTACCTTTTGCCATACGTAGCGATAGGTTTTCCGTTTGCCGCCTGTAAGTTAAAAGCCGATTTCTGAAGCCGGTCGTTAGGATTTGCTGGGAGAACGCTAACTTCTGCGCCAGTGTCGACGAGGTAACGAACTCTCGTTGTCACATCTGTGACGAATAACAGACGGCTTTGTTCGCCGGCTACGGTTGCCGTTAACGCGTGCCGGCTTGGAAGTTTCCCGAATTGCTTTTCGAATCAGTCGGTTTCGTGTTGGGAAAATTGCAGGGTTTTCTGCAATTTCTGGAAAAC